CTAACCGCAAGCAAATATGAGCGCAATTAACCCAAAACAAAACATGTATTTTGGGTTTGGCATTCTGCATTTCGTGTTCAGTGTTCTGCAAAATTCCCCCACCATAGTTACATCCCTGGGATTTGGGCACTTAAATGAAAGCTTGATACAATATACATGTTTACTAATACATACCAAAGCAACATCTTTATTGCTGTTCCACTTCACACAACACAACAGTTTTGCTAGAGCATGCGGAAAATGTTCTCGACAGTCAATTCTGCAAGAATGATACCTACTGTTAGTTTTGGAACCACACAACAATAGCAGATGTTAGAGCATAAGATACATTGTAAAGCTGACGAGATTAAAATTAACCAGGCAGAGATCACTGAAGATCAAGAAGACAAACCTCCTCTCCCAAACAAGCTCCTTTTCTTGTTCAAAGATTGGGGCCAAGGGTTCACGGTTTACAATCTGCCTTAGTTGCTCAATCAATGTTTCATCTGCTCCTCCCTATTGCAGTAAATTGACAATAGATTTGTTGAATATTTTATTCTATGTGCCGTAACTTGCAGCGCTCTGTAGTCACTGTCTGTCTTTGGAGTACTAGCACAAGGTAGCATTTGACTGACTTATCTAACCGGTGACCATGATAAAGCTTGGCAGCAGCTTGAAAACTCGCTGCAGCAGTCACGGTCAAACTGGAAACTGTTCTTTTGACAGCAACTCTGCAATGTTACAGCACAACTTGCAACTGTCGATTCATAATTTGCTATTGCAAGTGGTGACAGAGGATCTGTTTTATTTTTGGCTAGTTCTGGTTTTCATTTTGCCATATATTGATGAAATAACACTTTGGTGTCAAGGTGGAGAAAAGAATTGGTCAAGAGTTAATCAACAGACTGCAGGAAATAAGTGGATGAAAATCAGTAAAAAACTGGAAACCTATTTTCACAATTGAATATGCGTGAATCCACAACGAGTGGAGCAAATTAATATTCTTCAGTGCATCTCCCCAGCTTTGTAATTTCAACCCAGCCTGTGGCTTATTTCTCTAAATCTGTTAATATTTAAACCATGAAGGAAAGAAAAATTATCTTGAGTTCCTTCACTTTGATACAGAGGTTTTTCAACGTGTACCTAGGAAAATGACAACTTGCTCAGACAAGTAAACTTGAATTGAAAGTTAGAAGTTGCTTTCCGCAAACACTGCTAGTCAATGTTTGAACATTGCAGAGATCCCATCAAAACAACATCTGCTATGACTGAAATTTAGCTTTATCAACTTCATGTGTACAATGCTGTAGTAATTGCTGTGGGGTGAAGCTGATAGAAACCTTGAATTTGTATTTAGTTGAGCTTGACGGATAAATTAAAGTTAAAGCAAATTAAGTCAATTTGTTTTTGCTTGATGCAAATTAAATCACATCACAGTTCAAAACTTAGGCCTACAAGGTAGAATGTACTCACAAAAATGTTGAAGTCAGTAACTTCTGCAGCTAGTTCAGCAATCTACACATACAACAAAAAGAAACAGAAACCCTTTCAGGTGCAAACTTGAAAACGTCAATTCTTTTAACTTCATTATTACACTGCAAATGTCTTCTTAGTGTTAAAATATAGTTTAGAGACTGATGATTGTGATCATCAGTCATCATCAAAAAGGCAACATTCCCTATGTGATGACTTTCTTCATACAAGTACATGTACTTACAAATTGTACCTGTTAGAAATATATTGACAATGGAATGAGCAACACTGATCAGTCACAACTTACAAAGGCTGCTTATTTATTGGATCTTATTGATATCAATATTTGAACATCTCACGTCAGGTGTATTGAATAAATTATGGCTACTGTCTGGAAAAATTTACGTTTTGTTCTGGGGTGAAATTGCAGCCTAATATCTACAAAATTGTGTGGCTTATACATCCACATTTACATAATTTCCAATGGTGATGCCATTAAAATCACACAACATCTTACCTTCTCAAATGATGGATACACAACAGCATGGGAGTAACTTGGAAATTCAATGCTGAGTGAGACTGAGGTAGCAGTGTTGATATTGGACACCACTGTGCCAACTGGATTGAGTTGGTCTGCCATTGTTTCAGGTACAGGCCATGCAAAGAGCTTCAATGGACCCGACCGCAGCTTACCCTGGTAATCAAACAGGGTCGTGTTGACCCATGCAATGGGAATGGTTTCCTAGAGAGAAAAAACAAATATACAAACTAGGTTGATTAATTTTGTAATTAATTTTTTATTTTATTTTGTTAAGCATTAAAATTAAATAGTATTTTTTAAAATCTTTTTGTCATTTAAAGTAACACATCTTTAACAAATTACAATTACAGCAATGTGCTGTTCTATTACTACACCCATACTACACTGTCTACCTACAGGTGTATTAACACCATGTGCTACTATTAAACTTATCAGTGACCAATCCATACCTTGAGATAGGGGGTGGGGAGGGGGAGGTTCTGCTTGCCCTACCGGCTTTTCTTCCTT